GGCCAGCGGTGGGCCGAGCTGCGCGGCGGCGGTCACACACGAGCCACCCCCTGCCACCTCCCTGCGCTTGTGGAGCCGGAGCCCGTGACAGGCGCGGCCTCTCGCTGCCCCGGACCCTGAGTGCGCTCGGCGCCAGCCCAGCGGACCTGTGGCTGCCCCGCGCCCCGCGCCCCCGGACCTGGACGTGCCGTGGGGGGTAGGTAGGGCTGGGGGGTAGGCAGGGCTTCCGACCCGCTCCGAGCCCCGCCCCGAGGTGGGGGCCGGGGGAGCCGGGAGCTGCCCCCACTGGGCAGGGAGGGGCTGCCTGGGAGGAATGGGACAAAGTGAAAGTCTCGGGACTGCTAAGGAAATGGGCGGAGGGGGGGTGAGGGGCTCGGGAAGAAGGAAGGGGTGCTGGTGGGGCTTATTTGATGCCCTGGAGCGGCTTTTCGTGGCGGAGGTGGCGGGGCAGGCCAGCTGATGTTCAGGCCCCGGTGGGCTTCTGATATCGGCCCCTTCCTAGTGAATTCCTCGGATTAAGGAAAGGGCTTTTCACCCTCCGGCGTGTCCTAGAGAAAATTCTCCAGGTTTGGTTCTGTTCCCTCCCTTCTGCTCGACACTCTGGGAAGCCTCGTTCTCAGGTGGAGAGCAGTTGTGCTGCTTTATTGAAACGCGGAACACATTTGTTGTTTATATCTTCGTGGACCAGGGTGCAGACTGCGGGCACAGGGCACAGATTGCTTCCGCGCCGCAGGCACGACGTTCTTTCCCTAAACCTGTGTGGGATGCGGGCTGGGGGTTCCGATGGAGGCTGGGACGGGCCTGTCCTGGTGGGGGGCCAGGTCTGCTGCTGAAACACCCATAGCCGGTCAGTATTCCCTGGCCAAGACTTTTTGTTATGCTGCTGATTGCCGAGATCTTTGCTTTGCTGACATCCTGTTTTGTTTTCGGTTTTTACATCCCATTTGTTGTTTCTTTCTATCACAGAAACGCTTCGTTAAGGGGCTCAGGCAGTACGGCAAGAACTTCTTCAGAATCAGAAAGGAGCTGCTTCCCAATAAGGAAACAGTGAGTACAATTGGACTTTATGTAACTTGATTTTTTCCTCTTCGCTCCTGCTGCTTCTCCTCCACACTTGATCTTATGAAATGGTTTCCTTTAACCCTGCGCTGTGCTCAGACTCAGGCTGGCCTCTAGCATCCTATTCTTCTTCCTTCCTTGGCGGTTAGTTTTAGATCATGATTCTAGATTAAAGTGACGGCGTGTGCCTATCTCCCGAAGAAAGTGACTCCTGCTGTAAGAACAGAAAGGTCCTGGGCACAGGGTTAAGGGAGGAGGGAAGGGCCAGGGTGTTGGGGAGTTAACGTGTAATTTTAAATACAGCGGCTGAAATAGGAAATATCATTTATCACTAGTTTGGATTTCGTTGATTGGTTTGAAGCTCATATACTTTGAATTCTAGTGGGACTTTTTCTGTATTTAAGGTTGCTATGTTTTGAAGAGTAGTTTTAACTCTAATTTTCTAGCCCTAAAAGTTTGCACTTTTCTTTTGAGAGATGCATAAGAATTGTATAAATTGCTAAATGAGGCTTTTAAAAATTCCTGTGATATTTCACAAAGCTGAGAGTCAGATCTGATGAGTACTCTTACTAAACGTGGGTAGGAGGGTTTGCTGAGAACATTTCAGAGTGAAGTTATACGAAGAAAATATTAGCAAGGGATTCTGTTTCATTTATCTGTAATTTCCTACAGGTACTCTGGCAAGGTCAAGGAATAGGGGAGGCTGGGGGTGCAGTAGAACTTGGACATGTGCCCTGATGTCCAGTGTCATGGCTGAAGTGCACTTTTAGACTCGGGGATGGGGTGAATATTTAGACATTTTCTCCAGGAGTGGAAGGGGAGATGGACGAAGAATATTCATTGTAAAAGTAGGTAGGTTGCTATGTTTGGTTTGGTTTTTTGGTTTTCTAGTTGGGTTTTGTGTATTGATTTCTTCTTTTGATTATTTTCCTTTTTGTTTTTAATGAACGTTTCTGGACACTTTCTGGACAGTACCTTAAGAGCAGCGATAACATAATAGGGGAAGCAGGTTCTGAGATTTCAAGTATAACCTCCTATAAATCGGTGGTTTGCATCATCAGTCATAACTAGATTAAACTTTTAATATTTATTATACAGCTAAAAATGCTGAGAGATGGGTCATGAGAATGGTAACAATAGAGAAAAATGTTCACAGACATAAAAATTAAATATGTAATAATCCATAAAGCCAACTTATTTTTTTATCTTTCCAGAACAAATTGGAAAGAGGTATTTAATGTAGAACAGTGAAAGAAAGTTTTCTGAGGATTTCAGTTATTTGAAGTTTGATAACTATTTTTAAAAACTAAAATGCCTTTACCTGAGTGTAGGAGTTTTGATTTGGCCAAGTTGGGGTGAAATTGAGAAAGATCATTGAGTAGCTTTGACTTGATGTGATGGGCTAGATCATAACCTCTCAACTCAAGTCTTACCTATCCCTGCGTGCTGCTAAAACTTGCAAACCATGAAGAATGTGATACAAGATATGGCTCGACAATTACTTTATCCTTCTGTTTTAAAAAATAAATTTATAATAGCAAGATTAAGCACTAAATTTAAAATCTGTCTAGCATTTGGAAATGCTAATTTTATCTAGTTTTAACTCTTGAGTAGGATGCCTTGGTAACCTAGATTAAACCTAAATCTTTGATTCTGTTTTTCTTCTTGCTCTTGGCTCCTCCTCCTCCTCCTCCTCCTCCTTTTTAAAATATATTTTTATTGATTTCAGAGAGGAAGGGAGGGGGAGAGAGAGAGAGAAACATCAATGAAAGAGAATCATGATCGGCTACCTCCTGTACTCCCCACACTGGAGATCGAGCCTGCAGCGTGGTTATGTGCCCTGACTGGTAATCGAATTGTAACCTCCCGGTTTATAGGTCAATGCTCAACCACTGAGTCACGCCAGCCGTCTGTTCCTTATTCTTACTGATGATGTCAAACTCAATAAGTAGTGTTTTCTCACTACACCAGCTCTTCAAGCTGGTTGCCTGTGTTTCTCTAGCACATCTTTCCTGGGACCCTTCCCCATCACTTCTCTGCCATCTCAGTTTCCTGGTCATGTGGCTCCTCTCTCTACTTCTCTGGCACCCAGAAGTCTTCCTGTTTTAGCCTCTTCAGGGCATGGCCATCAGAGCTAATGGGAGAGTTGCTTGCTTCACCGGAAGATTTATTATGGCTGACATTGGCTAACTGTTCCTGGTGTCCAGTTGCCTTTGCATAGAATTGGAGGAGTTTGTTAGTAGAGTAAATCTGTAAGTATTCTAATCAGCTGGGAGAGGCACTCATATTTTCCTTAGTTATCAGCATAGGCATGCTAATCATTCACAACTCATGGGGAGGGGAGGGCAAAGGTTCTTTTTCATTTTTGCTGTGGAAGATGAAATATGCAGACACCAGTGTTTTTGGTTGAAAACTTCCTCAGTAGAAATCTTCATATGGTTATACCTCTTTTATAGCAAATCCTTAGCTACTTTACCAAAATTATTAACTCATTTCTTTGCTATTCTCAACTGACTTGAAACTTCAGAAGGGTGTCAGCATCCAAAGAGCACGCTTGATTGGGCCTGGACCTGGGTCAGCAGACCTGTGCTCTATTTTGGTTTCACCAGTAACTGTAGTACGTGATGATCTCTTTTGACTGTGCAGTCTGCTTTGAGCTGTATTGGGAAGTTCAGGGCAAATCCTGACAAGGACTGGGAAGTTATTTTTCCTAAAATGGTGTTTCTTTGCATGAGAATTTTATAGGTGCTCCATACAATCTTTATAAAATGTCCACACACTTTGGGCTATCCCTGTGCCTGAGAGCAAATGATGGCTCTCGCCTCCTTTGCCACTAACCTGCTCTGGGGCCTTACACAGATTATTCAGTCTCTCTGTCCTTTAATGTCTGTATCTGTAAAATGGGCTGATTCTTCTACTCTTAAGAATAGTTGTGAGCCCTAGCCAGTTTGGCTTAGTGGATAGAGCGTCTGCGGACTGAAGGGTTCCGGGTTTGATTCCGGTCAAGGGCACATGCCCAGGTTGTAAGCTCGATCCACAGTATGGGTGTTGCAGGAGGCAACCAATCAATATTTCTCTCTCATCATTGATGTTTCTCTCTCTCTCCCTCTTCCTTTCTCTCTGAAATCATTTAAAAAATATTTTAAGTTCTGACCGGTTTGGCTCAGTGGATAGAGCGTTGGCCTGCAGACTCAAGGGTCCCAGGTTCGATTCCGGTCAAGGGCATGTACCTTGGTTGCGGGCACATCCCCAGTGGGGAGTGTGCAGGAGGCAGCTGGTCGGTGTTTCTCTCTCATCGATGTTTCTAACTCTCTTTCCCTCTCCCTTCTCTCTGTAAAAAAATCAATAAAATATATTTAAAAAATATTTAAATTTTTTTAAAAAAAAGAATAGTTTTGAGAATTTAAATGAGATACTATCGATAGAGTGCCTAAAAACACTTGAAAATGATTGGTCTTCCCATCTACCCCAATACTACACAGAGTAGCTAAATGCCATGAAAGTACATAATTATTTTCTGCTTATAAACAAATTGAATCTGTGTAAAAACAAAGTACCTGTTTTTTATTAGTCTCACTTGCCGAAAATTATTTTAGTTGAAAAACTGGGAAGGGGTGGAGGGCAGTGCCTACTTTAAGGGATGTATTTTGTCTTGAAGCTTTGTTGAGGAGACTTCCATTCTTACCAGTTCTTCAGTGAGTTGTGCAGACAAAGGTTCCTGGTGGGTATGGACATAAACAGCTTTCCTAGGTCTTTTGGTCTGGTGTTTATTACACAGGCACTCCATCTGGCTGTTCTCCGAATACTACTGCCCATTGAAGTGGGCATAGTGGTTATGATTGTGGAAAACCACTGTTTATAGAGGTTTAGTTGAGTGGGTATTACATGTTAACCTCATGATACCCAGGAGAATATCCGCAAGTCAAATATTTTAGTATCATGGTTGTACAGATATCCTGAGGTTTATTATCATTCTCTGTAACGTTTTGTCTCCCTCAATAATTAGGAGTAAATAGAGTAAAGAACCTTTGCTGAGTGTATCAGATTCTGCTTGGCTGTGCACTTCTCTCTCAAGACACTATTGGGCCTAAACCACATGAAGTCTTGGGTCTGAGTACATTTGTGTAAACCTCAGTACGTGTCCCCTCGCTGAGATTCTGAGAGGATGACGGAACCAGGCCCCTTGGGTTCTGCTTTAAGGACTTAAGGTGCTCTTAGGATTGATGAGTTACCCTAAGGTAATGCCTGAAAAAATGAGAGACCAGATAGAGTTGAATCTTAATTACCAGGAGGGGAAACCATGTTATGAGTAATACAAAATCATGGGTGTTCCAAAACAGTCTTTTGTTTGATTTTTATACAGACTGCAGTTTTCTTCAAAATTATGAGATGATTACTCAGGTGACAGTGACATTTATCTTTTGTGCTGAACACATGTTTGTGTTGTTTGAACCAAAGACTTTCAGTATCTGACACCTGGATGATTGTCCCTTGAATCCTGGCTGGACTTTGTGTGTGGCTCTCTCTATCTGCTGTTGCTCAGACAAATTTAGCCAGCATTGGATCATACACAGGGAGCACTTACTCAGTGACCTGTCTCAGATGCAGCTAATATTAGTGAGAAGACAATTTGATCTGCTCTGAGTCGGTAGAGAGAAGAAATGCCCCCAAAGTTGTAATTAGCCTGTGGAGGAAGGAGGTGAAAAGGCGCCCATCCTTAACTGCCTTTCTCATCTCTGTAGTTGTCTTTTTGAGAAACTAGTCCAGTAGAAATTGAGCTCATGTTATTTGTAAACCCAGTTGCTGGTACATTAATATTTACTGTACTAGAGATTCATTTTGCCCCATTTCCCATTGTTAGAGCTAAACATTCCATGTAGTTCAGTTTTTAGAAACGTGTACTTACTGAGCACTGTAATGGGTAGAGTGTCTCTAAAGAGAAGCCAGATGCCCTGCAGGGAAGAGGAAATCTTTGCATGTGCTCAGGG